CAGCATGAGGACAGATAACAAGAAAACACAGATGCAAATGCAGGACCAAAATATCTGATTAGCTGTGTGCAGAATGAAATGCAGTTTCCAGCCATTAAACGACGCACACATTGTGAGAAATAATATAAGCAGAGCTGTGTTTCAGCATTCTACCTCCAGCAGCGGTGTTATGTTGAAGTGAGCACCGCCGACCTTTACCGATTTAATAGCAACCTCCGACTAAAGCGCACAGCTCTCCAGTGACCTCAAATCACAGTTTTGGTCGGTGTGATGGCGGAAAATGTTTCATGAATAAGGAAATGTTTGCAGAGACGACGAGGCCTAAAGGACGAGGGTCAAAACACTGCACGGCTTTAATTAAAGAAGCTCAAATCAGAGGGTTTTTATTTTAATAATTACTCTTATTTTCGGCTGCATGTGGCGTCTTTCACTCATAATCACCGGTTATGCCAGACGGCCGCTATGATGATGTAAACGCACCTCATCATTTGTTTATTCTCGGGGTAATGATAGGTGCTGCACCTCGGAGCTCAGATTAAGTCCAGCGGTATGATCTGCGTATTACCAATCACGTCGGCAGCTTGTGTGCTGATTTTTTATTTTTTTTTGCAGAGGGGGGAAATAAAAAGCAAAGTGCAGAGGCTACTAATAAACCTTGAAGCGCGTAACAAAGGGTCAGAGCGAACTAGACAGTCGAACTACAGCGTGTGAGGTATGGAAAAGGCATCGATCGATGGGTTCAAAAGGTTACCGAGTAAATGGAAGGGAGAGGAGCGACTACACGGGCTTAAAGGCAGGTGGGTAAATAGAGACGTCTCATATCTCGGCTGGCATGTGGGAAAGAAAAACATTTGTTCATTTCGCGTCTTATCTGCTGCACATGATTGAAGCTACACGCGTCAGGAAGGACCGCGTATGTGAACGGACAGACGAGTGCTTCCCAACGCAGCCTCAAGTCTTCGGGAACTCGGACTCGCCGCGTCAAATCCAACCGGCAGCCGGTGGAAAGATGCTAAAAAAAAATTGTGGAGCCTCTTTGTTTTCCCGCTAGTGAAAATCCACTCGCTGCTACATTTTTTTAAGTCGACGCAAGCCCCGCGCAAGAGTTGCATCAGAAAATTCAGGATTTTGAACTCGGCGTTCAGGTGTTAGAAATCCTTTATAAAGTCTCTCACGCAAAGTAAAGCGACAGCGTAAAGACAAGCAAAGAATTCATTGTTCAGTCGCTGTTCAAGATGGTGTGGGGGTGTCTAAAGCCTTGTTAAAACTGTATCGCCGGGCCTGCTGTGAAGCATAGTGATGTGTTGCACCCACATGAGAAAGAGCAGAGAGGAGGATACGGAGATTTTTAGAAATAAAATCATATACATCTCTAACGGCTTTAAGGCCTGAATTGTCTTGTTCTCGCCTTCTACTGTGTCAGGAGCGATACTTACAGATGTGCGGCGGCAGAGGAGATTGTGTGAATACAGTGAGCGCCGGTCGGCTTGTTCTTTATTTAAATCCGAGTAAAGCCACCAGCCGGCTAAATATATTCACACATAGATCCTCTCCGTGAGCCCTGCAAGTCTCCCAAAGCCAAAGATCTGAGGAGGTTTGTTGTTCTAGCCTGCAGCTCCGCATCGATCTATCAGAAACTTCACTGGTCCAGTTAATCACCTTATTCCAAGAGAGAGAGAGAGAGAGAGGAACAACAAGCCAGAGGCGAGAAAAGGTCCCGTTTTTGTTTGACTAATTCATTTTAATTGTTGCCTCACAGTGCTTGAAGAGAAATTAATCGGCGATATTTGCAGAAATTGAGTTTACTGTTTGTGTTTTGTTATTGTAATTGATGTAGTCATGTACAAAATTGACTGGGAGGTGACGGAGGGAGGAAGAGGGGATGAGCGAGACGGGCTGGGGGGGTTAGGAAAGGCTCCGCTGACAAACTTAATCACCCCATTCTTTGGCTGAAAGGAGGGAAAAGTATGAATAGAAATAAAGGCGTTGAACGGAGGCTGGGGTGAAGGGAGAGGGCAGCGAGGAGACAAGGGAAGGAGGGGATGAAGGAAGAGAGGATAATGAGAAAATAGAGAGGTTCCCTTGTCCTTTTAATGACAAGGAGCCGCTCTCTCTTCTTCTAGTGGAGGACGGCAGGAGAACGGGAGGGGAGAAAAAAAAAAAGGGAGTTTAAGAGGAGTGAAGGTTTAAGAGGGTGAAAGGTAGACGGTGGCTTCAATTAGTGCGAGCTGTCATTTGTTCTGTAGCTTTATTACCTGTTAAATAGTGAACCGGCCTTGTTGAGGAAACACTTGTACAATGCAAAGAAAGATTTTACTGCATTATATCACTGTTAATATTATTTCTAGTAGTTTGCAGCAGTGGCACAAACTAACTAAGCACATTTACTCAAGTACAACTTTTAAAGTATTTCCATTTTACTGTGTATTTCCACCCTGACACATTTCAGACAGTAATACTTTCTACTTCACTTCATTTATTGGACAACTTTCAAGACTCATAAGATTTTCCACAGTGGATGATTCAGGAAGATTTTAAATACAACACAGTGTTAAAGGTTAAATCAGTGTTATGACCCGTTTTGGCTTCTTGCTAAACTCAGTGGGTCAGACGTCTACGACTTGTTAACTCTTCCACCAAATACAGATTTTTCTCTCTAAATGTTCCAATGATTCAAAATCTCAACAAGAATCAAACATTAGAGAAAATCCTGAAAGCAGATTTGTTTATCAGAACTTTGTTTTTCTCCTGTTGGTCATGTTTGTAGTCTTCGGGTTTATCTGTTGTCTCTGTGTATAAAAGTAAATATGAAGTAGTTCAAACCTGCAGCAGCTTCAGCAGTAACCTGCTGCTGACACACTGATGCTCCACTTTTATTATCTAATGTCACGTATATATAATAATATATCAGTCAGAGGAACGTTGTTCTATAACACTGTAGCTACATTTGGAAGTGAATTCATTTGTACTGTTGCTTAAATTGGATTTTTAATGCTGGACTTTAACTTGTAATGGAGTGTTTTTACATTACTGGAGGGATACTTTTACTTAAGAAGCTAAATATTTATTTCACTTCTGG